TTAAACAGGTAACAATTTAGCGTATCAAAATTTTCAAATTATTATAAATTTTTTTTACTGAACCTTTTAGGAGTTTTTTCAAATTTCACAACGATTTAATATATAGTCATATTCCTACAGAACAAATTTACCCTTTAAAAAAGTTTGATATAGGTTGTCTTTTATTTGGGCAAAATTTTTTTTTGGTTTCTTCATAATGATTTTTGTATAAATTTTTCACTCTACAGAATATCACCTATGATCTAAGTGTTGAAATTGGTTGTCAAAAGATTCATTTCAATATATTCAGCAAAAACTGTTAGTAGATTAAGAAATGAAAAAAAAAAAAAACAATACAGTGATCTGCATAAAAAACCATAAGACTTGTTGAGATGACTTTAAAAAGTCGAATTATAATTCAACAATCAATTTTATTACAACAAACCAAAGAACTGTATTTTTCAGAAAATTACAATCTTACGAGGAGAAAACGGTGATCAGTAAAAACGCCAGTGACTGCACAACCCAATGCCTTTGGCAGACGTCATTCCTTTGCTTAAGTGTCAACTACGACATCGCAACTAATGTTAGCATTGTTTTCCAATATTTGATCGCTCAATTTCAACCATTCGAATATCAAATTTAAACCATAAGTAGAGTTTAGTTTGCAATGAAAATTCAGAAATTACTGTGTAATTAAACACACTTTGATTAGCAAACGATTTCAAGAACGAAATGAAGTAGGAAAATATCAAATAATATAAAAAAACAAAGTTTTGATCTTTTAATAAATATCAAAACTGAATCGTTCAATTCTTTTTAGCTTTATGGTGAGCCGAAAACTGATTTACCGTAAAGAAAAGAAAATGTCGTCTTTTTTTGTTTTGATTGCATTATATCATCTAAGCAGATTTTGTCTTAATAAGTTATATTATTCCCCTCGAAACCTAAACGACCAAATCAGATATCCTTTAATCCTTCTTCTAGAAATGTTCCTTAAATGGCGGAAGTGCATCGGTGAATCAGATTGCGCTTATCCAGTCACCCGGAACAGTTTATATGGAGAACAAATGTTTCTTAAGTCAGCAAATTCAAAAAACCTTTATGCTTTCTTACTTCAACAGAAGTTTTCACACAAAACTTTTGCATTAAAAAAATAATACGTTATGCATCATTAATGACTAATAGAATAAAAACTGATGCAGAAAAATAAATTTGAGTTGCTAGAGTTGCTTCTACCTTCTAATACACTATATACATCCAAACACGACCTAAAGCTTACAATCTTTTAGGAGAACCAACTGCTAAAACTGCTGAAACTTCTATTGTGGTAAAACTGCTGCCAAAGTTCAAGAAATGTCTTAGACGTCTAGAAAATGCAGTATTGTTTGATCTTGAAGGGAAAATTGTTGAAGAAGCCAAAACTTTAAGTCAGTATGCTGACAGTGTTTTCACTTGTTTATTTAGATCCTCTGCCTTTGAAATAACATTACGATTTACTGCTGTCATTTAAATAAATACTCGTTATTACAGTTTTGTTTCCAAGCTTTGGTATCAATTTTTAGTTTTAAATTTCAGATGATTGCCTGATCGCATGCGGTCAAAGTCAAAAACTGTACGGATTGACCTGTGCTTCGCTAAATTGGTTTAAACTCACAGAACAATGCTATCTTCACCCAGAATATAAAGAATCTCAACAAATGCAGAACTCAACGCAAACTGACTTTTACAGAAACTTATGCTACGGTCAGTTTTATTTAAACACAGTGTTCCGACCCTTTTAAGTTTTTATGGTACGCACAATTCTGTGCCGAATTTAATTCTTGCTCTTAGCCAAGTTATTTTTTTTGTCGTTTAAACTATCAATCTAGTGCTGTTGTAGAAGAGTTTAACTGGCAGAAATTTCCTAAAAAACTTGAGTTTTCTAAATATCACTCTAAAAAGTCTTAATTGTTAAGTTTCTGAAAGATATGAGTGGTTAAGAATAGAGAGATAAATATGCAGAAACGCAGCGATACGTAAAAGTTAACTGATTTTTGACAAATAATAAACTTATAATTAAAAGTGTATTAAACCTCCTAAAATTTAGTCTTTTTATCTTATTCTCTCAAATTGGCTGCATTTAAATTTTGAGAAATTTTTGAATCTGTATAAACAATTATATAAAGTACTGTTCGTATGCAAATTTTCTTTCTTGAAACCTTAAAAAGCTTATTATTATTATTATTATTATTATTATTATTATTATTATATTATTATTATTATTATTATTATTATTATTATTATTATATTATTATTATTATTATTATTATTATTATTATTATTATTGTATTATTATTATTATTATTATTATTATTATTATTATCACTACTCAGACAAGTAAAATGTTAATAACGACTAGATAATTTTAGATTCTGATTTTGTTTCTGACGAAGACCTGTTGCCGGTTTTGTACGACGATGAAAATGCCTGATCCTCTACGTTTTCACGTTTTTTTTTCAAGCTGTTGAAACAGACTGTGCGTATACCCTTAACAATTTCTGAAAGCTTCTAAATTTCTAACTTTATTCAAATTTCAGTGAAAAATTATTGTTTTTTCTTGTAACACGTTTTGGTTATATTATAACTGTATAATTTGGGTCAGTAGTTAAGTGAGGTGTTTAAAAAATAGGGCAACTGTGTGGCAGAAGGATATATTATTCTGTAACAGTTTGAACAATTTATAAACAAAATTTTTTGCTTTAGAAAAGCCGTATAAGTTGTGAATTTTATTCTCAAAGAATTATCTTTACTGCTTTCATAAATAACCAGCATTTTATTGCAGTTGCCATGAAAGATGTTCTATATAAGTAATAATCAAATAAGCTTTAATATGTTAACACAACCTACGCTACTTTGTCGTACAACAGTGTTTAGATATGTTTATAGCTTTTTGATTTAACTAAATAAAAGTTTTGGTTGAATAACGTTCTATGGTCATCCGATATCCTATGGTACAATTTGAAGCAAGTTTTTATATACGACACTTTTAAGAAGAACAGTTTTTTGACTGCTAAAATTGGTTGTCATTTGTAACCTATCAAACAGAGAATGTTAGCGAAAATTAAGTATATTCAATAAGAACAGATAACAGACAAAAATAAATTTGTACCACATTTTAATCACTAAAAAAAATTCAACGTTTTAATTTTTCTCTTTTTTTGAGGTTGTGGGGGGTGAGAAGAGGATTGTACTAAAAAAGTCAAAAGTCAATTGTATATAATTGCTAAGATTATAGACTGTTTCACTGGTGTATTAGCCAAAATAATGTCTTGTTAAATGCTATAACAGCGACTGTAAAAGGCAGATGTTATTTCTGTACTAACTGTACAGTTTCGTTATGCTGTAATATATTTTTTTCCGTTTGGTAATTTTTCTTCGTCCTTCTAATTTTCTGTTAAAAAGTTATAAAGAGTTTATGGAAGAAATAATTAGAAATTAAAAATATTCGAAAGATAGGTTATTAATTTAAATGCTAAATGAAACAGTTAAATTTTTTTAGTTATAAAAGTGCAGATTTTAAACTACAAACTATAGGATGAATGAAAGAGGCACGAAGCAAAAAAATTAGGATTGGTATGGTTGTCATATTCAGTAACTATTATACAGTGATAATGTGTCGAACAGATGGTACATAAGATTCTGTTATTTGACATACTCTTACAGCTTCATTTGCTATCACCTTCAACTCTTCAATTTATGAGTATCAGAAAAGATAAAATAAAAAGAGGCAAAATAGATGAAATGAAAGAAATAAAACCTAAAACTTATAAAAAAAAAAATGACAAATAGATTAGCATTTAGTACGAAGTTGTTTTGTAAAAAGGTGTTAACGTGTCAACTGCAGATGATCACTGAAGCGTTCAAATTGTGAAAGAAAAAAAAGTGGGTAGCAGAATCTGAACTGTTTGGTACATTGCTATATACAAATTTGTAATTTTGTTTCATTGAAACACAGACATACACCAGAAAAAAAAATATTTTCAAAATAATTGGTCTGGGAAAATTCTTCAGTTTTTATACATTTCTTCTTCTTTTTTTTTTTTTTTTTGCTTGCCGAGGTTAACGAAATGTTGTCTATCAGTTGATGAAAATATATAATCTTCTTCCTTTCTTTTTTTTTTTCTTTTCTTTTGGTTAAATGCTGCACACAAATCTTGTTTTTGGCGATAAGATAAACTTTTCAATTGTCAGACATT